AACCATTCCTTTGGTGCTGTCTTGCAGCGTCTTGGTTCCAAGGAATTACGTTGAAGTGACTTTAGGCACTTCGTTTAGACAAAGTGTGGCTGCCAAATTGTGTCACCGTGCTGCCAAGGAACGATGTTCATTGAGACAAAAGTTGTCCTTTTGTTCCATCTTGTGGCAGTTGTAAATCTTTTTAGGAGGGGCCACATCTACTTGGAATATTTGGCAGGGTTCACTCCTAAGCCCCGGTTTTTGTGTCCCCTCCGAATAATGCTCAAAAACTGTTTTTGTACCTAAGCCAATGCAGAAAAACTATTGCGTGTGAACTTGGTGCTCAGGAATAATGTTGACATTAGTCGAGGCACTTTATTTAGACAAAAGTAGTGATGTTCTTGTGGCATCTTGCTGCCAGGGAACTTTGTTGATGTCTGCTGAGGAGCTGCCTTTCTCCAAAAGTTTTGCTCGACTGTCATTTTTTGGCATTGGGGTGCCAAATCCTAAATTGAAGTGAGTTGAGGAGCTTCATAAAGGTCAGACTGACTGCTCTACTAGCTACTCGGTTACCGTGAGTTGTGGACAAATTTAATGCTTTGCAATCATCTTATGGGTATCTTGGTGCCAGAGAACTTTGTTGGTGCGTGTTGAGGAGTTTCATTCAGACAATAGTAGTGCTTTGCTGTCGTCATATGGCATTTAAAGGTAATTATAAGGTCAATATGAACCTTTATACGACAGCTTTTTGCTTTTTGCAGCAGATTTCGTTCACTATATTGCAACAGCTTTGCTTGGAAAAAAAATGTATGTTATGATGAACGGGATTTGGAGGGTGAACCCCGGAGACATTTGATTTGGACCGTACAGTATCCTACTCCACATTCTCCACTTTACAGCCACATGAATTCCTCTCCATCATGGTATGACTCTCCAAAACTTCATTAATCCTCCTGCCACATCCCCCCACCCCCTCGCCCCCTTACCCCCTCCCTAAATTCCTTCAAAACTTTCACTTCCCCCGCTCAGCCCCAGGAAGCTAATTGGCAACCCGTGAGCACTACACCATTCATCAGCGTCCCAGCTACCAGATAACTAGTTCCCCGGGTCTCAGTGCAATTTAGAGCAGCCTCAGAGTAAAACGCTTACCGACTGCGTGGCGCTGCGGGCTGGCCTCACATCTTATTTCCCAGCGCCCTTTCTCCTGGTCCCGCCCCGAAACGCTCCTGTGGGCCGGGGCTTAGTGGCCGATGACGTCCGACCTCCCCCTCATGCGACTGGCGGGTCAAATTAGAAGACGACCCTAATCATTTTTTTGCTTCCCACCCCATCCGCATATATCTCGCCTGTTGCCACATGAGCACTCCTTTGAGGGCTTTTTATGCTCGATTTTTCCATTCCTTGGCAGGAATTCTTGACACCTTGTAAGATGCAGGCCCGGGCAGGTGTCGCACAACACAAGTCTTTGTTCTGGCTTGATTTCCGATCTTGTGTCTCGTGTACTGTAGATATAAAGGATGTCAGGCTGTGTAATGAGGGCGCCTCCCCTGCTGATGGCTCCTATTTATAAAGTTCTCTGCAGAGGGACGGAAAAACATCAGAAAGTCCATTCGTTTGAAATGTACACTTTAGCTCAAAATGATTCGTACGCTTGCTGAATTTTGAGAGTGAAATTGATTTTTTTATTTGCTGAATGATTGGGAATGACTGTGAGAGAGCTTCTGTTCCAGATTTTGGAATATGTTCTGTCAATCTATTTTCTGCCATTTATCCTGTTCTGGGCTGGCCATATTGTGCCCACTTAGTTTTCTTTTTTGGCCTCTTTTTCGCAGAGTTAATGCAAATGTAATGAAACTTTGGTGTGCGGGTGAGTATGTGTGCGTGCGTGCCTGTGTGTGTGCCTGTGTACAATGTATTTGTGTCTGGTATTATCATTTCCAACATCTGCTCTTCAGATAGATAAAAACATATATTTAATGTTCAGTGTTGACATTATGGCTATATTGTGGCCACTTGAAACATTTATTTACTGGAGTGAATGATACAATTTCCGAAAATAGGTTTCATCATAATTTTAAAATACGTTTTGTGATACACAAAATAGTCGGTCGGGAGCCTTTTGTTAAAGATGGAAAACACCCCAATCATCCCAAAACCATTGTCTCAGAAGCTCTGTGGCTTATCAATACTTACCTCAGCAAATTTCAGTTATTTTAGTGATGACACTCAGAAAGGAACATGAAATCTCATGGTGTACCTCAGCCACAAATCACGGTTGTCAGGTGAGTTGCAAAAGCAAGTGTGAGGTAATAATAAAAAAAAGGATATGCTGAATTAGAAAAAAAAAGTCAAATTATATAAATTATATATCTTCGGAGTGGAGTACCAAACATTTTTCGGAGCACCTCTCAGGCACAACCGCACTAAAGTGAAGTACACACATTTGGCCTAATTTCAGCAGTTTTCCTCCTTTCCGATCAAGTCAGCAAAGGCCCCCCATGCCTCTGCAACATTGACGTGACCTCTTATCCTGTGGCGTGTGTTAAGAGGAATCGCTCCTCCCCGACCTGTTGGTCGGACCGACATTTTGCGATTGAATGTCCCCCCCACAAAAAATGTTATGATGGCCAATAGAAAACACAAGGTAGCACCAAAGCACTACTTTTAGGACTGCGCTTTCCGCTCTAACAATAAATGGATATTTAGAAATCCTGCACTGCAATTCGTTTGAAAGTCCTTGTCCTGCGATTGAAATGCAACGTCCACAAGTTATTGATGCTCATGTAAAAAGGTTTGTAATCACCTATGAATGCCACAAGATGGCGACAAAGTACTTTTTTTTCCTATTATTTTGTCCGACTTTGGACTGAGCATAAAAACAGCAAATCGGGGAGTCTTCTCAGTAAATGTCAAAATCTGAAATCTGAAAAATCTGCAACGAGGAGAATTTGCAGATGCTAACTTTTTTCCTATCGATCACTAAATAAATACTCCCAAAAAAAAAGGGTCCGAAGAACCAGACAAAGACCGACCAAATACAAAGACGGCAAGGTGTAATGTCCTCCACCCACACCTCCAAAATCCCCCCCCCCCCACCCCAAGCCGAACAATGAGCCGTTATTATAGAAAATAACGATTCCCAAGTTAACCGGGAATAATGAGGCAAATAAAGCCATTAGGAAAATAGAAGAGAGGATGGTCAGAGCCACGGTACGTGGATGACTCAGCCATGTTGAAATTTAGGGAGAGTTTTGGGGCCCCGTCGAGGACGATGAAACACTCTTTTAATGGGCGAACTTTAACGACGCGCCGGCGCTCTCATGAAGCCAACCAGTCTGCCTGCGCCACACATAAACAAAACAAAAAACCCATCCAGACAACTCGGAGACACAATCGGGCCATGGCAAGCGATAAAACATGATACTGTATATTGGTTCTGTGCACGTAAACATACAAAAACCTTCAGTCATATATTTCATGGATGGGATTTTCACAATTTATTTCAGATCTGGTGAGTATAAGCTGGACACAAAATTTTATCTTAGTTTGGACAGCGGTGCCTTGAGATAGGAGTGACCCGTTTGAGAAGTGTTCATGCTTAATGCTATCAAACAGTGCAAAACTCTATATGGCAGGCTAACGAACAAAAACTGTTGAGCACCATACGAATATATTCTATATCCTCTGCAAAGAACGACTGATACTGCTGCGGCTTCCTGGGGAGCTGAGACGACGCCACGTGTATTCAAGTGTCTCTGTTATACTGCCCCCTGGCGGCCAAGGGGCACACAACAGAAGGAGCAGTGCAATTTTCACCGAATCAAAGCAACATATGCAGCACAAACTGTTTAATTTCTTTGCATTTAATTTAGATTTAATTATGTCATTACTGTTTTTTTATTTTATTTGAAAGTATAAAACAGAGTGTTATTTCTCTCTTAGGACCCCTGTAGATGTAAATAGCCGGTCCAAACAATAAGATACAGGCGGTAAATGGGAATGGCGCACTTACAGGAAGACCTGCAGTTTGCATCCGGCCTTAATGCTGGCGAAATGTGACGGCCGTGACTAAAAGCTACAATGAACAGAAATAGCTTTGGAAAAAAGTAATAGTGCGGAATGTTTGAGAGCCAAAACACCTGTCTCGTTATAAAACATATGGCCACATCAATGTGCATCAGGCCAGCGTTGGCCTGATGCCTTCGGGCGAGCGCAAATTGAATTCAGCGGTGGCAAAAGTTAGTTCCGAACTCTTCTAGGATGTCGCAGAACACAATATAAGATTTTGAGGGCCCAAGCGTGTGGGGCAAAGGCTCTTTTTAAGGCTCTTTGTCGTTATAATTCTGAGGCCAAACTCACTTGGGTGAACTTCCCATGGAGTTCTACATACGGTCGATGTTATTATTGCAGCAGTGTTATCAGAACACGGCGCTACACGGTGCACAATGAACAATTTTGCGCCGTCGCCGCTGTTCACCATTTTTTTTTTTTTTCTCCCCAGTATATGTATTCTCTGATTTCCTTACCACTCTGTCTGCTCACCTTCAGTATTCCCCCAGCCCATGTCCCTTCTTTCGCACGCCCACGATCGGCGCGCGGGTGCGCTGGGCCCTTTCGTCGCTGCACACATCTTTCATTTGTTTTTTGTTTTTTGAAAGCAGTCACAATCAGGAAGACAAGGGGAAACGCGATTCAAAAAAATAACAGTCTTGACCTTCATTAGGATGCCATTGAATGACTTCCAGCAAGTCATGCGTGCGAGGAATTCCAAAAGTACCCGTGAACGGCAGTCACCGGTCGACAGTTTGCTTCTAAGATGCGCAACTTCTTACTCTTTGCATTTTGAGAAAATTGTAGTCGGATTCTGGCTGCGTATCGACTTCAATTTCAGCTGCTTCGCATAATGCCTGATCTGCATGCACAACATTTGAAGGCGCCAATGCGTGGGCTGCTACTGTATATTATTCTGTTTGCCGAAGGATTTGAAAGAAATGCCTCTCTGTGTGTACTTTCATTTCCAGCGCTGACAAACGTGAAGCTGTGGGCAATCGATCGGCAATGTTTCCAGACCATCATGATGCGGACGGGTCTCATCAAGCACACGGAGTATATGGAGTTTTTGAAAAGGTAAAGAAGTCACCCGGCTTGATCTGATGTGCAGTCGCGAATGGAACGGAGGACGATACAGTGATGCGAATAATAACTGGCCCTCATTCCTCTCGCCTCTGATTTATTTCTCATATTTGCCCCAAAACGCATAAATATTCAGTAGAAGCATTCTGTTGATTAATGATAGAAAAGTTTTGTCAAGTTTGTGGCCCATTAGGCGTACATCTAGTGTAAGAATTTCCCAACTAAATCACCCTACATTCAAAGATAGTGGAGCCAGTGTGATGATTTGGGGCTGCTTTGTAACTTCAGGACCTGGATGACTTGCTGTGATTAATGGAACAAGGAATTATGCTGTCTACCAGGAAATCCTGTTCAGAAATATTTGACTCTCAGTCCGTGCAATCTCAAGTGCTTCATGCAGCAGGACAACCATCCAAAACATTACAGAAAATAGGAGTAACCTTAACAAGTCCACCTCTGAATCCCGAAAGAGTCAAAAGTCAAAGTCGGGACTTAAATCTAATCGAGAGGATGTGGTGCAACTTTTTCCACTTTTTCCTTTTTCATGTGGGGTCAGACAAGTTTATATTCTTTTTTCTTAATAAAATAAAGTTTTATAGCAAGTGCTTTTTATATTTACTTGGGATGTCTTCGTGAGAAGGCAAATACTTTCTCACGGAACCGTAGGTGCCAGCTAGCTCTCAACGGGGGCCTAACTTAAACAAGTTATTCAAGTCACTGATTCATCTTTATATTTATTCTCTGCGGGGAAGCCCATTATCACTTTAGAGGCCCGCAGACTGTTTTATCTGAGTGCATGCGCAATATCCGATGAAAGACACGGAAAGTGTCGATAAAGGTGAATGAGATTCGGTTCCCCGCATGTTTTATACCGTCCACCGGCCGTGGTCATGACAAAGAAAGAGGTTTGATGCCTCCCTATTTGGCGCTTCTGTGCAACCACGCCACTTTTTCTCTTTTCCACAGGAAACGTTTCCACCGCACCAAAGCGCATGAATCACAGTGATAGAAATCAGAAGCTGTCACTTTTTTTTTTTTGCCAGAGTTATTTCATGGCAGGCAGATGGATGCAGCAAGTCATCAGAGCCTCCCACTAAAATAATGTTTAGCCACAGGTGCGATGGAGTGGAAATGTCAAGACAAGCTGGAACAATTGCCAAAATGGACCAAAGTTTTGCCTCACAGCGCATCAGAGTACTTGCGCGGGCATCACATGATCAACTCCGCGCGTGTGTGTGTGTGTGTGTGTGTGTGTGTGTGCAAGCACATTTGCAATGCCCCCCCTCCGCCCCCCACGCCCCGACCCCACTTGCTCATCCAGTCACATTCAGATGCCTTCATGGCCTTATTTATTTATTTTGCTATATTGTTTTTTTTTTTTTGTGTGTGTAAGGAGGGAATGTAGATGTAGCATCTGCATCCTCCAAATGTCATTTTCTTTCTGTTTGATTTGGACTTCCATGAAACCAGAATCATACATTTACCTTTTCAGGACTTTAAAATTTTTACTTCCAGTCATAGTGGCTGCGTAAATGCGACAAAACTCGACTCACCTCTTTTTTTTTTTCCCAATCGCTTCTCCACACTGTTGAAAAATATTCATGAAGCAAAAAAGAAAAGATTCCAATTGCATTAATGTCAGTCACAACAAAGCCAGACGTCGCCTCTTGCGAGATAGGGATCACCTTCCTCTGTGTGATTGTATTATTTAATAGTCGGCGTGTAGCCAGACGCTCATAGACAGGATCCTCGAAAAGGTCAAAGTCATATCATAAGCCACATGATCATTAGCGCAACTTGATTGTCGCCCGCCATGGGTGACTTATGTATTATGATTCGGACCGCCAGCTGTTGAGTAATCAAATAGGAATTCAAAGCTCACGATCTTGTTTTGGACTGAACAATCACTTTCTTTGGACTTGTTGACTTTGAAGGTGTGAGTTTTTTTGGGGATGGTAGTGACACTTGCATTGATGAAATGCCCGCTAAATGAGTCATTTTTGATGACCACTTCACCTTTTTAAATACATTAAAAAAACAAAACGATAAAAAGATAAACAAAATGTATCAAGAAATAGGTTGAACTCAATTACATTCAATCAAACAACATATAAAACGATAAAAGAATTACTTTTCAACCCAAAAGGGAATGGCAACTGCTCATCAAACTCATCACAAGGGTGGCGCTGCCTTTGCACCATGCTGCCCCCTAGAGTTTAAAAGCAGACTGCCACCGGAGCCAACAACCTGATGAAGAAAGCAGATACATTTCCTCTCACTTATATTTTGATTCAACTTTTCAAAAATTGATACAAATGTGATTAGTTCAATAATGGCATTGTTAAGAAGGACGCATTGGTTGTTCTTATTTTTTAACGACCACTTAATCGAATGAATAAAACGGGTCGACAGCAAATTTTACGCAGAAATGGCTTTATGTGTCTCTCAATGCATTTTTGACGCCGATTTCATAAATTCCATTATTGTTATTGTGAAAAACCTGATGTGCTAGAGAAAAAATATGAGGGCAGATTCGGAATCAACGCCGCAAATATTGTGATTAAAAAAATGTTGTAAAATATTATTAAATTATCCGTCCAATAATATTTGTCAGTATTCATGAAATAGATCAGAATTCATGATTACAAATAATTCTTTTTTGTTTTTTTTTGTTTTTTTTTTTACTACAAACAGCAGATATGTTTTAAATATAACAAGCCTTAAACTCAGCATTTGAGCTGCTCAAGTGTTATTGTGTCACATCCCCAAAAATAAAGAAGAAAAGAAAATAGCAGTGGTCATACCCCCCCCCCCCAACCCCCCTTTTTATTTATTTATTTTTGTGTTGCAAAAGGTGATTCATAGCATCAGATATGCTATGCTCCTCTCTCCCTTCCTCGTTTGAGAAGCCCTGTCATTCTTGGTGGTCATCCCCCCCACCGCCCCCTCCCTTTTTTTATTTTTTTTTTTACTAGATACATATACGGACATGTAAATTGCCACCTTGGTCCCACTTCCGCATTTGTGTGGCAGAACTACAGTGACGCCACAGGGTTAAAAAAAAAAAAAAAAAAAAAAACAGCTCAGCATTGCCTACAAAAATACTTGCCTCACCACCATTGAGGAAGTTTGGAGCCGAACAAAGATCAGCAGCCGTGAGATGATTTCCGTTTATGAGGACACAACATGCAAAAATGGGCTGGGCGACAGGATGGAGCGAGACCCTCTGACGAGATAAACTAGTGGGATATTGCCCTCTCGGTCTTGATAAAACCACTGGATCACTTTTATTTCAAAGGCTCAATAGCAGCCGTGTGGTGTTCATTTGACCTTGTGAAAAGCAAAAATGGCTAAAATTAGAGCCTCGTTGTGGCGCGTTCAACCTCCTTCGCACTATGGCCCGCTGTGTAACCAGACCCGTTACTCCCTTAATGCTTCAATATTAATACGCACATGCTGTACCAAAGCATAAGCCAGCACCTATAGCATGATAATCATCTCCTCATTGCCTCTTTTGCCATGCATTTTTTATGAGCGCTGTACAGATGACACCATAGAGCATGTTTCTCAATTGAAAAGTGCTTCGTGTTCTTGTTCTTTGCAGCGTGCCCACCTTCCACAGCCTGCAGGAGGACATTCTGAGCAAGCTCGCCGACGTCCTTGAGGAGGTGAGGCCTCCTCGCTTGTTCGCCAGACGCATTTGACAATGTGCCGGTGCAATTCTTTACAGTTTGAGTCACAGTGAAAGGAGGCTTCCAGATGTATGGCTGAAATCGCACTTTTCAAGCAGAGAACATTGACCGTATTTTCCGCGCTATAAGGCGCACCTAAAGCATTCAATTTTCTCAGTGCGCCTTATAATCCGATGCGCCTTATATATGATCAATATTCGGATTTCTTGGATGTAGTATTTGAAATATTCTGCAAAGCGATTTTGTTACAGCTGCGACGGTTGTGAAGGCCCTATATAAATAAAGCTTTATTGTATTGGATTGTATTATGTGCCCTTTAACGTAGCTCCATCTAGTGGCTACGTAATGCAACCGCAGCCACTATTGTAGCTTCTTTAATGCGCGTTATAATGCCTTATATATGAAAACAATTTTCAAATAGGCCCTTCATTGACGGTGCGCCTTATACTCCGAAACGCTTTATAGTGCGGAAAATACGGTACATCTGGGTTGGCAACAATTTTGAAATGTCTTTATCGTATATGGTGCTTCAAATCAAATCAAAACCAATTTTCCGATTAAAAAAAAAAAAAAAGAATTTTTTGGGTTACATTTATATATATGTATATAAAATTGGTTATTATTATTGTAATTATTATTATTATTATTTATTTTTTTTTATTTCCTGGTGCCCATGGCAATTGCCTATACTGTATTGACAAAAGTGCAAGCCAGCTCAGGATAATGTAAAGGCCCGATGGTTTGGATTAAACCGTCGCAGTATGTAGCCCACGGGCCGTACTTTGCCCACCCCCCGCTCGAGCTCTTGTTGCAATTTTATTGACAGAAATACGACACGGGGACCGTTGACTTCTTTGCCTCAACAAATGGAAGCCTTTGAATCCATTTAGCAAACGTCGTGCATAAGCGTAAGTGCACGCTGATTTGAATGTTTCCCCACCAGCGGAGCAAAAATGCATGTTTTCGCTCGTTCCTCACCTTGTGTTTCAATTAATAGAAAGTTGAATTCACCTGAAAGTGGCTGTCGTGAATACAAATGGCAAATGGACGGTGGTAAAAGGGCATTTGTTCAGCAACGAAAAACATGCTCCAGAGATAGAGGAGAAGGCAAGCTTGCTGCACTACAGCCCGCTGTTCAAGACTTTATTACTCTCAAGGATATGATGCGCTACAAATTTTAGTCGACAGGTGGTTGCAGGTGGGGTTGAACGGAATATTTTCTTTGGCTGAAATGCGTCTGGCGTATTAACGACCCCACCCCCCCCCACACACACACACACACACACACACACACTCCACAGGTTGCTCCGCCGCCTCCATATTTGACCTATTAGTACGACTAAACAAAACCAGTCCAGGATAACGATATTTTATCGATGAAAATGATGACTTTGTTTCTTCTTCATAACTTATCAAATGGTAGCATTAGCCATGGCTAATATTTAACCAATGGCTAATTTGACATATGGACACTTTGGACAGTTCTCTGGTCTTCACGTTGGTTACACCTCCCAACCTGTATAGCTCCAAATGTAGATCTGACATTTACCCAGAGCGCAGTCAAAGCACTCGGCATGCCCGATCAATCCGTCCCGCTAACAAGACACGAACGCATCTCGTTGTTTTACGTCCCTTATTTCAGCCTCGTTAACTGCGAAGTTGGCGCCTGGGGAGGCAAAAAGAACGATAGCACGCACCTGAAAGTCACTCTCGTCTTTTTTGTTTTTTTTTCTTTTGTCAGACCCATTACGAGGACGGCGAGTACATCATCCGACAGGGGGCCAGAGGAGACACCTTCTTCATCATCAGTAAAGGAAAGGTGAGCGCAGGAAAATGACGTGTTTGGGGATTGCAGCTTGGAATCAGCCACCGTATCTTACGGGAGAGGAAGAGTTGCTTTCATCGTCGCCATTCAGGCTTTTAGCACCACGCTGACTTGTCTCTGTGCGGCCCCCCCCCCCCTCGGCCCTCCGGCTCATGACACCTTCCTCTTCGCCGTTATCTTCTTGTCAATAATAACGTCCTCACAGTGACACCAGAAATGCCCCAAGTGCAATAAAAATGGGAGAGTGGGGTGTGAGGGCGATGAAGGAATGTTCTGTCGCACTTTGTTTTTACTCATACACACACACACACACACACACACACACACACACACACACACC